TACCTCTTGCTGCTTCCTGTTCATGGATAATCTGGGAACATAAACCACTAGGTTTCTTGTCCTTTCATGGAGGGAGGCCAGAAGAAAACCTGAAAGCAGCTGGAAATCCTGCCTGCATATTCAACTGGGCAGGGACAGAAACAAACTGGAGTCACTGGGCAAGAAGCTTGCTTTTCCATGGCAGTGCCTGCAGTCACACTGGCTACTGGTGCAATTCCAGGTGACAAATCAAATCTCTTCCATGCCTTTATCCTTTCTAGTGACAGCTCTCTCAGCGGCCATAAGAAATGAAGCTGGTTAAGTCTTCCTGTTAGAATAGCTGCCTTACAGTTGGCAAAATCTACATTGGTGGCAGACAGATGGTGTTTACAAGAGAATGGCATTTTCACCAAAGTGGAGCCTTACTTGTTTCTAGGATGGGATGGCAGCCATGGGAAGCAAGGGTGGGGGAGCTGGAACTGGCTCCTGGCCAGCACCAATTTGTCTTGACTCGGCTGTTTTCCTAATCATGTCAAGGCCAGAAACAGACTCATCTGCCATTCAGACCCAGGTCCAGGGCGATGTGCTGGGATTGAAAATCTGGCCCCACTTCAGATGTGAGGTATGAACACCATCACACGTGCTGTGGCCTGGTATGCAGTTGAGAGAGCAAAATACAATATTTTTTATGATTTGGTGAAAAATTTTGCAAATAAGAACGTGAGAGATTAATAGCTCTGGCACAGAGCAGGAACAAGGATATAGAATGCAGCTTTCAATTTATTGTAGTCAAGAAAGTACAATAAACAATGGAACTGTGCAGGAAAAAAAGTCTAAGCCAATAAGGAAAGAATGGGCATTTGGTTTTAAGATTTTTTAGAAGACAAAAGTATAAATCCCCAATGTTGTATTAAAGTAGAATTAGGAACTATAAGTTCTACATATGCTGTCTTAAAACTAAAAGATGCATAAATTCAAGAATACAAGGAACAAATTCAAGATATTCAGTCGAGGAAACTAAGATACAAAAAGTAGTGACTAAAAGTGACTCAGAGACAATTCTGATTGTCTAGAGAAACATTGTGTTCATATGTTATAGACACCACAAGCTACATTAATAAAATCAATTTTACTTTTTTCTCTGGGTTGGATGCTTGGAAACTCTGAACCACACTTGTGCTCCATTTTATATTACAGCATATTATTTTCAGAATTAACAATGTCCATGATGCAGAGTTGCTGAGAATGTTAGAAATAGTAACAAGGAAGTACTTAATACAACATAGTCATTATTATTCTTATTGTTATTATTGACCAAAATTCAAGGAAAAAAATGATGCATTTCTTATGTGTAATACACAAAGAGCTTCACATTCAGTTCACCTAATTTGGGGGAAGGGGATCATTGTACGGTTCCTAATGGTCCAGGCTGGATCCAAGGAGTCTGGCCTTGTGGTCCTCACCATTCCCAACTAAGAGCATGAGACAAGCTTTGACAGTGTGTGGTTTCTCTTATGTGAGAGACCAAAAGTATAGATAATTTCAAGAACCTCGTAAAGAACAACAACAGGAACCAGGAAGGTCGGTCTTTTGCAAATGGGAAGGTGCTATGGCCAGGCACCAACTCTCTGGGAGGAGCGTAACCATTATGCATTACAAACAAGTGCTAACACTTTTTTTTTTAAAATCAAATAATGAGAACAAAGTGTGCGAGATGCTGTTGGCAGTCTCCGTATCAATGAGTGAATACTAATCTTTCAGAACTAATCTTCTTTTGTGTATCTCAATTATACTACACCAGCTTCCTCGCTCTTCTCTCCCCTCCCCTCCCTATCCTTTTCATTTTCTTTTGTGGTATTGGAGATGGAACTCAGGGTCTTTGCCTGGAACTACAGCCCTAGTCATTGACTTATTTATTTATTATTATTTTGAGAGTTTCTAAATTGGTCAGATGGGTTCAAATTTGAAATCTTCTTTCCTCAGGGATAAGGATCATGTCAATTCTCCCTTCCTCCTTCCCTTTTTCCCTTCCTTTTTCTTTCTTTCATTTTATGTCTCACATATCTTTGAAATTACCTCAAGGCTCCCTTTTGCAATACTTACATATTTTAAGAGTGGATTGCCTAACTGTCAGGGGTTGGACAGGCTTCCTTCCTATCCTCTGGGGTTGCCCCTCCTTGAGTTATAGCATAAATAATGGGAAGCCCTTGCTAACTGATTTACTACGAGCCTCAATTTACTCAGATGAACATATGGGTGTGTGCAATGCACACAAGAGTAATATATAACATGATGCATACAATTGCCATACGGCCGCACCTACGGAGGATGGTGATCTGCCAGTTTTCTGCAGACAAGGAATGTGAGGGTGTGGGGCGGGATGGCTGGGAGAGCTGGAAGCCAAGGGAGGTGAGAGGCTGCGCCAGCCCCAGACGTGTCATGGGCCTTCCTGCGAGGCCATTGTGGCTGCATGTGATGGATGGGGTGGCTTCTCTTTGCTTTCCCTCACCCCCTCTTCTCGGCTGTTCTGTGTATCCGGAACTCTGTCTACCTAACTCTTAGCCTCTGTACCTCTTCTGTCTGTCATCGCATCCCCTGGGCTGCATTTCAGCACAGTTCCCAATCTCAGCACCAAAGCTCACTCGCTCGCTGTGGGAATCCCCAGCCACACTCTCCTCTACGGTGATGAGACCTAAGGGGAAATCACTGGGGGCTTCTGGGCAGAAGCAGATTTGCAGTACCACCAGCAGCAACACTGCTCAGATGTGTGGGCTTCTTCTAGGTCCCTAACTCTGCCTTTGCAGTTATTCTTTTCTCAAAGAGAATTCCTCCTTTATCTAAAGTTCATAATCTTCAGAGTCCCACAAAACATGCTTATATTCCAAGATATATGGCTCCTAAGATATATATCTTGCTCTCTGAGAAAAGTAGGAGACATACACAGAGAAATGCAAACTTTTGCTGCTCTGAGCCGCTCCAAGGGGATGTGATGTTTGGAGTTGCAGCAGACATTGTGCGACTTTAAAAGGAATGACAAATGAATTGCTGCACAGCCGATGCTGGGACTTGCTGTCTTGAAAATGCTAGATTAAGCACTCTGGAACTACCTACCACCAGACCATCAGTTAAGCGAGATAGTAAATCTTGCCTATTTAAGCCATTATTTAAATGGTCTATGGCTGAGACCTAAGAGCATCTTAACTGATATCCTTGTTACCCTGTGGAAAGACGTAAGTCTTGCTGGTGTGCCACTGCTAAGATGACCTCAGATGCTGCCTGAAGCAGCTTCATCAGTGCCTGTCCTACCCGCCTGGAAGGACCCAAGCCTTTACCACTGGAGTGGAAAGGGTACCTCTCCAGTGGTCCAGCACCTCCGTGGTGACCTGTGGCTCGCCACTCCTTTACCTAAGCTTGTTTCCCATCCCAATATCCCAAATCACACTGCATTTTACCATTTTCCTTCCTACCATGAACCAACTCTTGGTGCAGTTGACTTTAGTTAAATTTGAGAAAGCAAGCAACAGAATATGTATATAGTCACGCTAAGACAAGAGTGGCAACTAGCTGTGGCTTAATCTGCATAGTCTATTTACTTTTTAAAATTCAATTTCCGCTAAAACATTAAAAAAATGAAACAAATTCCAAAAGTAAGCTTTTGGTTGATTTTGGAGGGCTAGCTTTGAGGCCAGGGAGATAGCTCAGTAGAGTAAGTGCTTGCCTGGAAAGCTAGCTTCATGGACCCAAGTCTGAGAGACACGTACGCAGGTGGCACTGGACACCTCAGTGCTCAGCACAAGGCCCCCAGGAAACCATAGCCCTTTAGGAGCCTAAATAATCTCACTTTGAGTGAGCTTTGAGCAGAGACATTAAAGGAAAAGAAGCTTTTTGGGTTTTAGAGAAGACAGAACTCATGGGCCAAGTGATCTTCTTGGAGACCTTTTAAATCTCACAGCACAGGGAGGTACAGTTTGCAACTGAAAGGTTGGCCTCTGCAGCCAGGATTTTTAACTGAATCTGTGTCACCCACAGTCCCTCAGTGACTAAATACCTCTGTTCTTCTGACAGCTCATAGGAATGGCCCAGACCTACTGCGTGACTAAAATGTAGTCCCAGAACCCCTGGTTTTCCATGCCTAGGCTGCTGGCTGCCTGCCCATCCACCCACCAGTGTGCCTTTGACAATCACCTGCTCTTTGAGTACTGACCTGAAGTGACTGCTCCTATTTGCTGCTCTTTTTATTTATTTATCTCAAAGTCTGATCTCAGTGCAATTCACTTTGAAATGCATCTAAAATAACCTCTTCAGGAATAGATTTCACAGGTGGCCTGACCATGGACTCCCCTCAAGGGGGCAGCTTCTTCTTATTCTCCTCTCTCTCTTTCTTTCTTTTTTTTTTTTTTTTTTTTTGAACTGGGGATTGAACTCAGGCCCTTGCACTTGCCAGGGAAGTGCTTATTCTACTAGGCCATCTCCCCAGCCCCAAGGGGGCAGCTTCTGTCTTGGCTCCAAATCCTTACATTCCAGAGCCTGCTGAGTCCAGGCAGACAAGGAGGATGCTGTGGTGTTATTCAGACCTGAAGCAAATAGGATTTGGGTTAGAAATGCAAGGTAATCTCCTTTGTAGAATCAAGCTGGCAAGCTGAGGACTTGGATCTACAGAGTTCTGTTTGCCAAACATTTCTCTCGGAAGTGCTAGCAAAGCCTCCTCTCCTCGCTGCCCTGAAGCACAGTAATTGTTCAACTTTCAACTGAGCACATTACACTGAAGCCTGGGTAATTGAGTTAAAGCTGTTTGTTGAAACACAAGGCGTCTGGAGCCATAGAGTCTACAGTGTGACCCTGGGACTGTGTCCATAACGCTACCTGATCAATTTGTTCTCATTCCCTAAAGAAGGAAATAAGGTGGTAAGTGACACCTAGCTGGAAAGAATCTCTTAGGAATAAAATTAGAGTGGTTATCATTTATCTCTAGATTGTTTGATAGTTTGTATTGTGAAAGTCATTGTAAATTTTGTAATTACCTCTGTGATGAACCAGCCTTCATCCGCTACTAAAGTCAAGGGAGATACAAATTTCCCTTTCTTATAATAGAATCTGCTCGGTATGGCTTCTTTTTCATAGACAGTCATGTGTTCCACTCTACTCAGTTTGTTATAAATCTGCAAAGAAAACCAAGAACGGCCAATTTTACACTCTTTAAAAAAATATATTGAAGACCAAAAAAAGAAAGTCCCCAAATCTGATAGATTTGACTAAAAAAGTGAGATACTTTTGTTAGCTTAGAAAACAAGCTGGCTTATCCTAAGGCCAGAGATTCACTTATTCTCTGACCCAGCCCCTAGGCATGTAGTGAAAATCTCTCTCACATATGTACCTGTTGACATACAGAGCAGCCCAGGTGCTCAGCATCAGTGCGAGGGCTAAAGAAACACAGCAGGGATTCACTGAGGGAATACTACGAAGCGTGGATCCCAGCTACAAGGGCACATGGAAGAATACTCGAGATCTCTTGTGGAGGACAAATAATGTAAAAGCTGGAAAATACAGACAGGACTATTGGTATTATATAAAGCTTGAGTAACTATGGAACCAAACAATATATGTGGTAAAACCATAAGGAGAATTATGAAAGCAAAAACTTAATATTTAGGACAGTTTTTTTTTTCATAGATGGCAGAAAAGTTTCTGGGTCTGGGAAGGATGCCCAGAAGAGGTCATAGGTTATGGCAATGTCCTACTTCACTTTCTAGAGAATATCAGGAGCCTGTTACAACAGCATCATTCATACCTTGTGAATGTTATAATAATACTTTTGTATACATCAAATCACTAATTAACATATTGCAGAAATGTATGCATGTCAAAGATAATATACCAAAATTAAAAAGCAAATAAGAAATTGGCCAGTCTGATGTTAAATACCACAAAGGTCAAAGCAAAAGGACAGTCTTAATGCCCTAGAGAGTGTGTCCTACATGTATATGGATCTTAAAAATATTAGTAATTGCTTACTAACTGTATTATTAATTTTATGGCAATGATGTATACTTTGCACATCTAACAGTTAGCCACTGCTTAAGCTAAAATATTATGGCTAGAATAGAAATTGGCTGGCTCGCGTTCACTTGCAGGCTGTTAACCAAATCATGCATTCTTAGGTATAACTCAATTTATCGAATTTATCAAATGTATAAAGTTGCTTGTGAAAAAAACTTGTCTTTAGATTGTTTAGTAGAAGCTTTCTCATGAAAATTTCCCTGTTAAGAGAATCCAGAGTCCTTAAGGAAGTAGTGTAAATTTGCAGAAAGATTTTGGATAAATGCAAAGTCTGGTGAAAACACAACAGGTCTTACAAACTGTTGTGTCAGTCATGTGACCCACTGTCACCCAAACAGAGCCCCCTCTTGAATCATCTACCAACTGCTGCAGGCTGTGAGCAATGCTTGACTTAAACATCACGCTGGAAGAAGCTCTCCCCAGCATGTGGGCTGCGGGGGCCGAGGCATTCTGGAGGCAGCTCGGGCCTCGGCGCCAGCTTGGAGACAAAGATGGCGCTCCTTGCCAGGGAAGCAGAACTTCTTCTCACGAACCTACCAATGTGTAAAATTGTCTTCCTGACTTCATTTTCAGTGAGCCCATGGGGATATTTTGTAAATATTTTCAGCACCTCCACTTTCTACATGCTCTTCTACAACAGCGGCTAGGGCTGAGGTGCAGGTTTCTCCCTGGGGCAGAGATGGAACTCGGCCTCCACCAGAAGCCCACTGATGACGACAGATGTCCAGAGCCAACTGTAGCCCTGCTATGAGGAGGGATGTGGCCTCTTCTTGGCTCCCCATGGCTGGCAACCTTCACCATCAGCAGCTTTGGCTCCCCAAGGGAAAAAAAAATGTTGCTTTCTGCTCCAGATCTGGAAGTGAGTAGAAGTTACAAAGCCTGTTGTGGCAGGTGACAAGGCAGTTTGAAAGCTCAGCCCAAAGTGCCACTTGTCCCTTCCTAGTTTCTCTGAGTGGCTCACCACATGCTGCCAGCTGTATCACTGTTCTAAAAGAATGGTAAATAGTGGCCTCATTATTCCTGGCTGCTGAGTTCCTCCAGTCCAGTGCAACTCTCCTGGGACATTCTTTGCTAGTGGCTGCAATAAGAAGTGATGCACGCATAGTCTGTGCAATGGCCAGTACCATTCTGCGTGCTCTACAGCAGCAGGGGACATCTGTGATTTCATCACTCCCCTCATACATGGGAAGAAGCAGACAGACCCAAAGAGGCATCTTTCTGGTTCTAGCTGATGACTGAGATGGGACTTGAATCCAAGGGGTATGACTCCCAAGATAAGCAGCTGGCCCACTGCACCCCTGGCCTCGGCTCCCCTCTTTCATTCATCACTTTCACATCTCCAGGACAATGCTGGACTTAAAAACCATGTTGGAACAAATCAGACTGGCAGCTTCTTTGCAAAGAAAGAACAGTGTCTGCCTCTGACGGTCCCATTTGCCTGAGCAGAACTCCAAATAGCTCTACTAAGGCTTGCCTCTACACGTTGGGTGCATGATAACCACCAGGCAACTTTTATTTCATTTGTAGGGTAGCTGAGTGTGCTGGTGCACACCCGTAATCCCAGCACTCTAGAACGCTGAAGTAGGAAAACTGCATAAGTGCATACCCAGCCTGGGCAACATAGCAAGTCTGCACCAAAATACAGCACCTCCCAAAGGGCTGAGGATGTAGCTCAATGCACAGACCCTGAGTTCAATTCCCAGGACTGAAGAAAATCAATAAAGATGTCATTATAGAGAAGACCAGAGTCAAGGAAAATGAATGTCTTGATGAGATCATTGGGTGAGTGAGTAGAGAACTAGATGACCGGCTTTAGCATGCAAGTCCTCACTGTTCCTCTACATGACTACATGAACAAGGTAACAAGACAGCAGAGACGGTGCAGTGTGTTGGCCTGTCAGTCCCCCAACAAGACATTTCTTGCCTCAGTGTGTTTTCCTGGAGCTGGCCATAGGCTCACAACAGGCCCTCGGTCTTTTGCTTGCTGCAGGTCATTCAAACTGATGTACTTGTTCAGCTCAATCACTTTGTCCATCCAGAAAATGTCTGTCATCCCATGATCTGAGAAAATGATGATGTTTAGGTCATCCTGCAGGCCTCGTTCCTGTGGGGAAAGCAAATGCAGTCGCTATAGGACTCACCAAGAGAGGCTGTCTTGCACAGAGGTGTTTTTAAGCTACAAATTATGGGAGAAGAGATATTTTCTCAATTCTGAATTTAATCATCTACCATCTGCCTTGGTGAGAAACAGCTCAAAATCATGGCAGAAGCACTTTGGGGAGGTGAAACCTCCCATCCTAACATATACAGAAAAGATTGGATCAGGCCTTTACCCTTGCAAACCATATCTCCCACTTTTCTTTTACATTTTTAATCAGTTGGTGTGGTTGTATAATTCTTATTTGCTTGTACTATGGATATAAAACATGAAATAGGAAAGTAAAATAAAAACAAAAAATGAAAACAAAATAACAAAAAAGCATGCATTTAGTCTCTCAGCCAGTTACCAAGTCTGACTCCCATCTCCGGCCAAGCTGGTTATCAAATTTTTGTTAGGATTCTAAAAAACTGGATCAGCATGCCAGCCAGGTCAGGCTGTGAGGTCCATGGAGGTCAACTCAGTGCCCCTGCCAGGCCATGGGATGAGGGTCTCTTGGTACCTCTGGAGGTGTTATATGAAGAAGAGACAGCCTTGCGTTGGTCTAGTAAGAAGGAAGATGGTGGGGAAGCAGCAGCCTAGGAAAAACACAAGAGTAACAAGAAAGAATGCCAGTCTAGTTGTCCTTGCTTAAGTCACCTGGATCCACTGGGTCATGTACTTCAGGACAGTGTCCACAGCTCTGAGGGCATCTTTTCTCTGAGGTGAGGAAGGGCCATAGTGGTGGCCTTCCACATCGATGCGCTCGTGGTATATGGCCACAAGGTCAGCCCGGCCACTCCTGGAGGGAACAGGGCAAGAGAGGCATAGCTGAAGGTGACACCTGGTATCTTAGTCCCTGGTGACCCACCAGCCCTCTATGCAGGCATTGGCACCCCCTAAAACCCTGCCCTGTGGGTCAGGCAATACCTCAATCTCAAAATGAACCAGCTAGAGGAATACTGACCCAAGACTTGCTAGTTGTGAGTGCTTTGGTGACAAAAATTGGCAAATGTGTCTATTGGCCACCCCCCTGTCCTGGCTGTATGGAATTGCTTATCATGTTTCTAAGAGTTGGGGGATGGGCTATCAGGCAGAGAACACTCTGTAGCTCTACCCTCACCATCTGCTTTCACTAGTAGGTCATAATACCTGGAAGCAATTATTAAATAACTACTGCTCAACTATTGCCTGATTTTAAGAAGTTCTCTAGATAAAATACTAGATTGTAGGTCTAATTGATTGGCAAGATGGGGATATAAATAGATTTAGGCCCTGACATCAGCAGACACTTGAGGATACTTATTAGATTGGGGATATATGAAAGGTTGCCTGTGGTGTACATGTAGAGTGACTTCTAGAGGTAACTACACTTCTATGGCTCCGAAGACTAAACCTCTTGGCAAGAGCACTTATGGTAGCAATCTAAGCTACTTAACCCTCAATGCAGGGCTAAGAATGCACAGCTAGTGGTATAAACAGGGGGAGAAAGCTTGTGGAGTGAGGGTGGGGTGAGCAGCGCCATGGAATGTGCATTCTGTCCTTCACATAGTGCTGTCCACTGTGACTTCCCCTCCCTGCTTTGCCCACTTCCCTGTTCCCCAAAAATCACCTGAAATAGATCACACCAGTAATGGTAAAGATGTGATAAGGATGACAATGATGGCAATGAGACCTGACTCAAAAGGAAGCCATGGAAAAGCAATTAAAGGTAATTTCTCTGTTTGGGCTTTACAAGCAGCAACAATTAATATCCTTAGTAAATCAAAATATTTCTCTTGGAAAAACTGTTCTACACACACACACACACACACACACACACACACACACACACACAGCTTGTTTTCCCCTGATATGGGCTTCCCAACAAACATTTGGCACTCTAGTAATGAAACAATGTCTCCACAGTCTAGGGGCTTGAGCCCTACCATCCTTATGCAGGAAAATAGCCTCACTGAAGTCCAGACAGCTTGGTTTGCCCAACAAGAATTACACAGAGCCCAAGCCTCTTCTGGTCTAAGGACCACTTCACGTCCTGGGTGATGAATTAAGTTACTCACATCACAAACCACTCTCTTTTCTGGAAGTGAGGTGGTGGTATGACCAGGATGCTGCCTGCTGAGAACCTGATGTGGTGCTGGAGCACAGAATGTACGGGTGACACAAGTGCATGAAGTACTGAGCAGACTACTAAGGCCCCATCTACCTCAGCCCAGCATGGTGCCCAGGTGAATAGGAAGGTAGCTCTCTACTTCCTCTCTCTGTTTGGTTTTCTTTCAGTGAGCCTTAGAATTCTGGTTGCAGTTGGGTGTGGTGGTGCATACCTGTAATCCCAGCACTGAGAGGCTGAGGCTGGAGGATTGCTGTGAATTCAAGCCCAGCCTGGGCTACAAAGTAAGTTCAAGGCCAGCCTGAACTTCGTAATGAAACTCTATCTCAAAAAGACTAAATAAAAATAGAGTAAAATAAAGAGCAAAAAGAAAAGAAGCATGGGTGTGGGCCAACTTGAAAGAATAAAAGTTGTTTTTCAGGCATTTCTTCATGCACAGGACAGCCCCAGGGGTGGGGAGCTGAGCCTGTGTGGAAAGAGCAGATCCTGGCTCTCCTGCCCACAAGCTCATGAGAGTTAGGCCAAGACATTTAACCTTCAGAGTCAGCGATATTTTCTGTACACTGGGGAGGACAAAACCTATGTGATACAGTGGAGGAGAGAAGAGAATGCATTAATGGAAATAGAGCCCTTCGGTCCATGCTGGCAGATGCATATTAAGCACATTGATTTCTGTCTTTCCTCCTTTCCTCTATGCTAAATAAATATCTAAGTTCAGGGATAGCACCTCACAAAATGTAGCTGGAGACAATAAGGCTGAGCACCGGAAAGCAGCAGCCAAACCTACGTGGGCAATGGTTGTCACCTTCTGCAGAGGCGTGTGCAGCTTTGTGACCTGTGTGGACCTTCTGCTGGAGTCTCCCTGGGTAGGGCTTGAGGTCCAAAATCTTAATGGCACATCCTGCTTTCTGGCAAAGCCTGTCTCCCTGTGTTTCATGTGGACGAAGACAATTTAGGAACAGCACTGCTTCAGAGAAATGTATGTGCATGTTCAGACACTTACATTTAAAAATTCAAAGTGTTCTTCAGATTACAACTGAGGAATTTGGGACAGAACTGAACAAAAACCAAGATCCAGGCATGGTGCTGCACACCTGTAAACTCAGCACTCAGGAAGCCTGAGGCAGGAGGACCCTTTTATCTCAGGCAGGGCAACTTAGCAACTTAGTGAGACCCTGTCCCAAATATACTTTAAAAAGGGTTGGGGCTATAGCTTGGTTCAAAAACCTTGGGTTCAATCCCTAGAGATGCAAGCAAACAAAATCCCTCCAAAACCCGGGAGGTGAGCCAATAGCCTTCTAGACATGCTTCTCTACTCAAGGCTACATTATAAAAAGATAAATAATTATACAATTTTGTCTAAACACACATACCATGAGAATTATGACTCCTCTGAGTCACATTATTGCCTGCACAAGCTGCTACTTGAAGAACAGACTAGATTATTCTAGACTGTACTAGGACATAGCTTTCATATACATTGTTCTTAAATAGGACAGAAATTAAACTTATTTTAAATTAAAATACTGACCCCCAACTATTAGTCTTTAGTGGATCTTATATGAAGGTAATGAGACATGTTCCAATAATGCATATTGTTTGAAGAAAATGTTTCTTTTCCTCTAGGGAGGGTCCTAAATTACTGGCAGCTTCGTCTGGCTTATTTTTCTTCTTGTCTTCTCTCATTTTAAGTACTACCTGGTGTTAGAGACAATGGATCTGCATCCTTTCACCTACTGTTCAGAGGGGTTATGTCTGGTGGCCCCACTAACTTTACCAACTGAAAATCTCATACGATAAGTGCTGGCTTGGTTTAGTTCTGCTTAGGCCTTCACTACCTAATGGCACAGGCATCATTCATAGAGTAGAGAGCTATGATATGATGTATCAAGGCTACATTATAAAAAGATAAATGAAAACATCACGGAGCTCAAGGCCATGCACACCAACTACAGTGTTAATGGTGTTGAGTGGGGCAACTTGCTTCTCAGTTATACCATGTGGGGGCTTAGCCTGGAGCTAACGCTCTACACCTGAAGTTCTTTGTAGCCTTTTCTGTCTACAGGAAGCTAATGTCTTTGCTACACACACACACACACACACACACACACACACACACACACACACAAACATACACACAGACTACCGCTGCCATCATCTCGACCACCACTCCCACCACCATCAGTACTATGCTCATCACTAAAAAAATCCTCCCTGTTTCCAAGGTAAAGATACAATTCCTCATCATTCTATAGCTTGGCCATATTGATTGAAAAAGAAAAACAAAGACTCAAGAACAGCACTTCCTTAGAGAAAAAAGAGCCCAGCACTTATATACCTCCAGCATTACCTTGTCCCTGAGGACAAGGAAATCTGCTTGTCAGCCAGAGCTGACCTGGGCCTCCCATGGCTGTGCGCCCCCTGCTGGTCTGCGTGGGAATTGCTAAGAGCCCATTCATCTGGAAAGGGAAGATGAATGAGCAAGAGAAGACACCGCTATGCAGACTGTCGTGTTATTTGATGACCCATATTAGGCATAGCAGGGGCTGCAGACCTGGCTAGCACTTCATTTGTGATGGGACCAGAATTAGGTAGACACAGGACTATTCCCAAAGTTCTAGCTGTGTGTGTTTGCTGTATACAGTGTGCCCTTCTGCTTTGCTTGTGCACGCTAGACTGCAGTACAATATTCCTGATCATTATGTGTAGTGCTTTTGAGTCCTTGTGGGGAAAAAAAAAGAAGAAGAAAGGAGTCAGTGGGAGGCAGAATCACAAAACATGAGTTTTATAAATTGTAGGAAGAGCATTTAAAGGCTATTTTCTCCAGACTCTGCCCCTTTCCTCTCCTCACAGAAAAAAAGAGATAAACTTAAATTTATTACTTGTCAATCTTTTACGAATTTTAAAACAACATCCTTTCCAACCTGTCAGTTATGGCATGAACCTTTGTGTACCTTAAATGTCCCTTTTAATAGATTTCATGAAAGTAGACTATTTTAAGAACCAGCAAAAGCAGGGATCTTGTTTTTTTTCCCTTGCTAGTTCTACGGAGGTAGCTGCAGCTCGGCGTGATGGTGGGGATAGGGGGGGCAGAAGGGGAAACGAAGTATGCCAATCCACGACTGCTCATCTTCGTATCTGAGGCGGCCTCAGCGCGGCCGCTCCCTGTGCTCAGTGCTAGTGATCGGCGCACCTGCTTGACATACCTTAACTCTCAGAGGTCCCCATTAGAGGGAGGTTCCTTCCTTTGTGAGTTCAAATGTCCTGCGCTGTTCTCTACGCTCTGAGTGCTCTGCCTTGGAAATCCGTGGAACAGTCACGGTGATCTCCAGCCTAGCCCTGTGCATTTGAGAGCCACCCGATCCTTGACCTTTGGGCTGCTGACCACCAGTGCAGACTCGCAGCTTGCCTCCCATCTTGTGGCCCCTTTCAGTGATTTCTGGTAGTGACTTTTGAGACTGTCCCAGTCTGTCTTGTTAATCAGTTTCTTTGAGACTCAAGATTTTTGTGTGCTATTTAGGATACTACTATACTATTAATTTCTGCATTTTTAAACCTTGTGTGGCTGTTCTCCATGGGAGGAAAAAAGACCCTCTGTTCTGCTAAGCTAATGTGCTTTATATATTTCTGAGAGAAGGGTAGATGAAGAAGCATTTTCCAACATTATTTAACTATATATCCTTTTTGCTACTTATTGATATCTTTTGGTACCAGGGATTGAACTCAGAACCCTACTGGGCAGGTGCTTACACCACTGAACTATCTTGCCTGGCTTATTTATGTCTTTTGATACAACTGTTCTGTAAATTATGATTGAGAAAATGCTTCTATTTATTTTACTTCTCCATTGACCAACAACATAAAAAGGGAGGTCCTACACCCCTAGAGATTTTTGTGTTCTCCACTGAACATGTCCAGAGTTCCTTGCCCAAAGTTACTTGATCATAATAGTTTCCTCCCAGCAGTTAACAATCCTTATGTTAGAGGGTCTCACCTGTATCAGACCCCCTTGATTCGCCCTAGGAATCCGTTATTAGTCCCAAAATAAGAAGAGCAGTGGGATGGTGAAGAATTTGGAACACTTACTTGAATGAGTCAAGAGCATCACTGACTGCATTGGCAAAATTGATATCCGTTGGCACATTTTTATATTCTAGGCAATAAGTAGGTCTGACTCCAAGAATCTCAACCTCACAGCCTGAGAAGGAAGAAAATGGCAAATGGTTACTCTCTTTAATATTTGATGAGCCTATTTATGGAAGCAGTCTTAATTAGTCAAAATAAAATTTTTGTACATTTCCTTGAACTAAATTAGTTTATTGCTAAACTAATTAGGTGGTGTATTTAATTGCAATTTTGCTTAATGGGAAGAAATATTGTTAAATGTCATTTTATGTAACACTGGTGTCCCATGACAGAGGCCAATGAAAAACTGGGTAGTTGAAACAAAATTTAATTATGCACAAAATTACCTCCATTAAAACTTTTTTGCTAGAGTTGCTTTTTCTCTTCCTTCCTTCCTTCCTTCCTTCCTTCCTTCCTTCCTTCCTTCCTTCCTTCCTTCCTT